AGGGAGATGGGGGAGAGGGTGAGGTGAGTGGGTGAGCGGGTGGAGAGGGAAGCAGGAGAGAGAGGTACGGCGAGAGTGGGAAGACGGGAGAAGGAGGGAGTAAGTAAAGTGCGGAGAGGCGGAAGGGAGACGAGTGGAGAGGGACGAGGGAAGGGAGGGACGATGGGAGAAGAGAATGAGAAAATGAAAGAGCAAAGAGATGAGACCACAAGAGAATCGGGAGAGAGGAGCTAGAGACAAAGTGATGCGCGTAAGAGAGAATGGAGGAGGAGAGAATAAAAAAAAAGAAAGACAATGGGAGCCGCACACGAGAGAGCAGGCAAACGAAAGTTGAGAGAGAGAGAGCGGAGAGAGGTAGATAATGAGAGATCGGACGAGGCGGAGACGAATGAAGAGAGAGAGGAGAGGATATAGACCACAGATGTGCGATGACACGCAGTACAGAAGCGAGAGTATGTATGTATCTCACACGAGATAAGGCTGGAGCTACGAGGGCGTTGAGGAGCTGCCGGTCGTACGAGACATGTCAGCAGACAGATCCATTCACGGGTCAATGTAGACGTACCGAGAGCATGAGAGCAGAGACGAGAGAGAGAGAGAGAGAGAGGAGAGAAGAGAAGAGAGAGAAGAGAGAAGAGAGAGAGAGAGTAAGCGAATGGAGAGAGAAAAAAAATATATTTATAATATATAAATATATATATTACATGGGGCGCAAATATAAACCGATACCTATTGTTCATATAAAGATATTTGTTAAAACAATTAATCATGAAATGTGCAGTCTTAAAAATAATAATTGGCCTATAGAGAGCAGTCTATATTTCCTCCAAATGCCTATATAGGTTACCAGAATTTGCTTCTTAAAGAAACCAGTGTTAAATTGATTTTCTGAGCTTACTATCACTTCAGGAAAAATAACTCTTACCTTGCATCCATATTGTTTGCTGCATCTGAATCAGGCTCTACACACAATATGCTTAAAGGAAAACAAGAAAAGAATTAGTGATGATAATAAATAAAAAGAAAATAATAAGTCCACATCCAGAAAACATACTCTACTTCTGTAATGACACCAAAATACAAAAGCATTTAAGATTATCTATAAACATGATGGTAAACATTCAACACTATAGTTCTGTTGGGACAATTGTGGAAAAAAATCAAAATTTAACTTTTTCATCTTACCTCAACTCTTCAAATGATATGTTATTCTTTTCATTCTTTAATACCAGCTTCTGCAAAGTCTTCCAATTGTCTTCTGCTTCTTTCACAGATTTGAAATCCACTTGGCAAGAACTATGAAAAAATGAGGTATAGACCTTAGATCATACAAATAGGGAAAAATACAAAAAACAATACCAACCTAATACTTTGAAGGAAAATCTTGAACTATGCTTCCAAACAGTTATACTTCATAGAAACCAGGGAATGAAAGGGGAAAAAAAGTGGGAAACCTCCGTCTTCCTAGCGGTCAAATGCAGGCTGGGAGGGAAGGAGAAAGAGGGAACATGAGGTTGAGAGCTGAAGTGAGAAAGAGAGAAGTAAAGAGAGGGAGAAAGGAGAAGTTAGAGAGTGAGCAAGAGAGACAGAAACCAAAGAAAAAAACAGAAGAGAAGATGAGAAAAAGAGAAGTAGAAGAAAGTAAAGATGATGAAGGAGTTGAAGTACCAGACTTACTCTCCAAAACTAATGATTTCTGCACTGGAACAGTCTGTCAAGAGTTGCTTCATTACTTGCGTGCTGATGGGAGAGTGAAACACAACCTGAAGGCCACAGTTTGCACGAAGCTGTATAAAAAGAAAAGTGAGAAAAGTTGTATTAAAATGATGGACATTACAAAAATGATGGAGACTGCTACTGCCGAAAAGATAGAGCCCTGTCTTTGGTTGATGTAGGGCATGGAGTAACAATGATGAAGAAAATGAAGAAGGGGATGATAACAATGATAATGGGGATACTAATGACCATTATACTGATCATATCAATGATACTGATAACAATGTAGAAATGCAGGTAATGATGGTCACGAGAAAAGCAATAATAAAAATAATGATGACAAATAAAATCACCATTATCATATTACCAATCACTATTATCATGTTACCAATAATACTTGAAATGGTCATGTTCTCTACAAAGATAATTAAGGTATTAACAGGTGTCAATAACCATGAAAAAGATACATAAAAATATATATGCAATAGAAACACTTGTTCTGCAATAACATATATAAGAAAACTTCACATTCATATTCCTCAAATATAACTACTCGTAATTTCCAGATGATGCCAAGGAACACATAAACATACCTGCACACTTCCTATTGTCTGGACAGATCCTGAACTGTTGAGCAAAAGAAAAATAATTAAAAGAAGGAGAGAGAGAGAGAGAGAGAGAGAGAGAGAGAGAGAGAGAGTGAGAGTGAGAGTGAGAGTGAGAGTGAGAGTGAGAGTGAGAGTGAGAGTGAGAGTGAGTGAGTGAGTGAGTGGAGTGAGTGAGT